AAGGTCTGCAGGTGAGTGCTATTAACAACGTTGACGACAACGCGCGTTTTGGGTTTTTGCACCGCGTGGGACCACGGCGATTTTGCAGGCGCCGCCGCCTCACATCAAATCCGTGAATTTTGAGCTTTAAATACCCAAAACTCCGATGCAGCAAAATGTTTAGAATGATATTCGATGTGTCAAACTTATCAGAAGGGACAGCTGTGAAAAATCGATCTAATTGACGTTTTCTGGCAATGAAAGGCAAGTTTCAGTTGCTTTTGCTGCAGTGAACCTCAAAATTATTTTTGGCGGGGTTGCTCCACTAAAAACATATGTCTTGCTGCTATATGTGTGGGTCTGTACTTACTTCTACTGCTCTTTTTTATGACCAGGATCACACAAAACGGACCAACAAACAATTTGACTCCGTAGTTCGCTTAGAAAACCTCGCTAAAAAGCATATCCAACCATTCAATGAACCATCCGTGTCTAGTCATATTATGGTGTAGTCTATGGAATAGATGCAAAAAAAAGAAAAGAAGTAGCGCATGCGCGAAAAAAATAAATATTTTGTGTGTGCAGCGCATGCGCTGCACACGGTCCCACACGGTGCTCAAGGTGTGATGCGCATGCGCTGCACAATGTCGTCAACGTGTTAAATAGACCGATGTTTTTACTTGAGGACCTAACCTGCTCTCCTCGCCTGTACCCCTCCATCCCCTTCACCTTCGCCCGCTCACGCCCCATCTCCAGGAATCTTTTTTTTAAGTGATGAGTTGAACGAAATGACTTGTTAGGATCTATTCTTTCAGCCACCCGCATTTTCTCCTCACCCTCATTACATTTCCTACGCTATGTCGTAAAGTCCCCTCGTAGCATCATAATTATAAGGACGCAATGACTTGCACGCACAAACCTCCAGCCCTTTGTGGATTTTACTATACCTTATTACTTACCTTTCAAGCAATTGTTTCAAGGATGGGGTCGGCGCCATGAGAAGTTTTGCTGACGCAAAGCGCGATGAAGAGCAATGCAGACTGGCGGAAACGTTGAATGTGAGTATAAGTTGTCTAGCCGAAACAGTAGAAGAGCAATTTTTAACCTTGTTTGTATTTAAAGAATTTTTATTTCACGTTCCGAATGTTTTGTTCTAGAAGGGCCGCGAGGAGTCGTTTGTGGATGCACATCTAAAAGCAGAAAAAGGCACCAAGCCCACGGTAAGGCTTGACAATACTTGAAGCTGATTCCATGAAGGGCTCGGCTAAATTGTTTGTTCCCTTTTCGCTGAATTAGTTTTTACCTGTAGACTTCAACTGCGACCGGAGAAAGAGTGGCGTTCGACCGCGAGAAGGATATGGGAGGAAGCAGCGGCAAGAAAATGTCTCTTGAAGAAGTGAAAGAACGCGCAGGACACCTGAGCTCTCGCTTCGCGTCCGGGACCAGCCAGAAGTTTCTTTAAGTAACTTGAAAGTAATGTTTCCAGTGAGATTTTTACGTGTTTGTTGAAGTACGGGCTTTTAGTGAGCAATCATTGTTTCGTGTTCTCTTTTGTAATGCTTCAAATTATTCATTCTCTTGTAGTGTCCATTTGAATGAGTGGTGATATAACCCCAGTTGGGCGTTCCAGCATTTGCTGTTACCAACTCAAAATGGGACTAGTTTTAATTTATCAAGCGTTCTTTTTGAGGCGTTCTTGAATCTTCTTTATTCGGTCACTTTAATGCTGAAAACTTGAAGTTGTTAAGTGAAAAAGGGTGGGTGACATTAGGTATGAGTTATGAACGAATGCTCCATCTACCGTGTTGTGATTTAGATCCTTTCCAAAAGGAAATTTTTGAAGTTGCGCAAGCAAAGAGAAGTGCAGGAGTCATACTTGGCAAACGAACCCCAGATATAGCTATAATCTCCGGCGATAACGGTTTTTAGAAGCTCATCATCGACTGCGACAAATTCGTATCTAATGTCTGCCTTCCTACAGCAAAGGTCAAGCGTCTGGTGCTTTCTGGTCAGAGCATTTTCTTTCCCTAACTTTCTAGTTCGTTGCAGTTGCCCTTTTTATTCAGCTTAGCTGATTTCTTGAGCATTCTCCTTAACGTTATTCATCAGTCTTTTATTCATTCTTGCCCCGCAAAGCAGTCCAACATATATTTTCTTTGTCAATTTCGTTTTTATCTTTCAAAATGATACCATCACGTTCTCTTTAGAACGTATCTCCAAAGTAAGCCTTTCGCTAGACGCTTGACCCAATACAATATCTTAACACTTCTACAACTCATGCTGGTGTCGTTCCGAGTATTTGTGATGTCTTTCTCATCACTACATCTATACTTGTTCAGTGACCTCTCTTGAAGAGATCTGTGTAGTGTTGGGTCTACTTGCATTCTCCCGATAAAAGTTGTTTTTGTTTTTCTTCGTTACATTTTCTATGGAACAAGGTGAAGGGGTATCCGATTCGCTGCGAATTAGTTAACATTTGATCATTCAGTTGGCATGGAGTCTTACTTTGGTTTCTCGACACGGTATGCTTTCTTACAATGGTCGTGGGAGGAACAATAGAACTAATAACATAGAGTATAAGTTTTTACTTAGCGTCATAACTTAAAAGCAGCGAGGCTATCCTATGCCCTCCACTTTCGACCTGTTATTTCAGTCAACTTTCCTACAGACAAATCGCTATTTCCATTTCTTCACATGTGTCAGAGCCTTCATTTGCATTCATCCGATTTCTGTGGAGAAACGAGTGACACCAAGTTAGCTCATCAGGTTGTTTTCCACGGAGATGGTACGTAAACATAGAATAGTACGCGCTTGCGCGAAACCGCAGTATACTGTAGGGCTGTTCCAGAGTTACTGTAGAATGTGTTTCTATTTAATGAAAATATTAGAGCGGTTCGATGAGAAAATGGCTTTAATGAGATCACTGGCAACTCACTAGGATTCCTATGATCTGCAATAGTTGATCGGACCAACAATGTGCTGCGTCAGTCCCAATGCATGAATCGAACACTTCATCTTCCACCGGAACTGCAAACTCCGTACTGGTTCGTTTATTTTGTGGATTTTTCTTTTTAATAGAAACCTCAGGCTCTATACAAGTGGGGTGGGCACGCCCAGCCCAAGCGACTGCCCTCACCCCCCCCCCCCCCCCCACCCCCTAGATTGGCTACACTCCCCCTGGCTCACGAATTCCCCGATTCTCGTGACAGTATAGTAGCGGGCAGCAGTCCACCTACATACATTTCTGTTCAAAAAATGCGGCGTGCCTACCCCACTTGTATAGACCTGGACTTCATGTCTTTTTCTGACTTTTTCCTTGAAATTACCGTGTTATGAAGAGAAGGTTCCGTAAGGTCCGTTTTGGAACAGCTTAGAAGTAGGTTAAGTGGGGGTTTACTCATTTTGCATCAGACTAAGATTCATAAGTATTCCGTACATTCATTTCACCCTGTACGAACTCTTACTGATCTGTTTTCTTGATGCGTATCAATTCATAGCTTGTAGATTTCAAAGTGGCATTTTTTACGAAAAAAAAAACTACAAATTCAGTTCTGGTCTCTTGAAGAAATGCTCTCAAGTGTAGTTATAATAAATGGTAACGCAATTTCATGGAGCATAAAAGCAATAGTGCCAGTGCTTGAACGGGTTCTGTAAGTTTCTTGAGGTGTCTTGTATAAGAGCATTTTTTATTGTTTTGTAGTGAACCCCATACTTTTCTTGAAAAACGCTGTGTGAAACTACCCTCGCCTTCAAATGGCCAGAAATTGTGCAATTGCAGAAACTGACGTGGCATTAACGTGGGATCGATTCAAGAACACCTTTGA